GGATTGAGGTTCTGCCCGTCTGCGGTCCACGCTGCCACACACACACACACTCTCTCGATGCTAATTTTAGTCGTCTTGCTCGCCCGACGTGTCAGCTCTGAGCGTTTCCATTTAGTCACACTTGTCTCATGAGAGATTTAATACAGTTTCGCAGAACTGAAATAGGGGCATCTTCTGCTCAAAAGGAAGAGCAGAGAAGAACAGACGAGATGATTTTTCAGTCAGTTTCGGTGTCTGAGATCCAGGCTGGAGAGAAATTCTGCAGAACGGAACACGGACACGATGGAGGGGGAAAACGCACGGTTAATTCTCCAGCCCTGTACTTATCCACCAAGTTTACCCGGCGAGCAGCAGGTGAATTAACGCGTTCATGGACTTCCATTATTGGTCCAGCCTCACCTGATCTAAACTGGGAACTCAGCTGTATTATCAGACCAGTTTGGGTCTTGTTTAACGTTGATCTCTAAATCCACAGCCCGTTCTGGTCCCTATGAAGTTTGACGTCTTGTCTACACCCACAGCGATCGTCTTTACTCTGACCCCGAAACGAACGTCTTAACCCTTAAGAACCCAACCGTAACCCAACAGATGTGTAGATCCACCTTCGTAGTGCCCGGAATGGATACCTGGTCCGCTTGTGTCATTTCAGAGCTTCAGGAGCTCCAGTTCTCCAGAGACGCCTGAACGTCGTCGTTGTAATGAAAAAAAATCACACCGGAGGCCTGCTTTAATCCCAAAACACCTTGAATTCACCTTTTGAGTTTGGAAAAATTTGTAAATGACGCACACACACACACACACACACACACACACACACACACACTGTCTGAGCTTTCAAAAGTGGGTTTCTACATCCAGAAGGTAATGAACTTTAACAGCGTGTGTCACAGTTTAGGATAATTTCAGTGCTTACTTTGGCTGCAGGTCAAACACTATGGCCAAATCTGTGTGTGTGTGTGTGTGTGTGTGTGTGTACGTACACGTGTGGAACCATGCGTAAAAACCTGTCTCTCGTTTTCTCCATTTCTTTCTTTCACGTTCCCCTTCTTCTTTTTTTTTTTTCCCAGTCCCTCGTTAGCTTTCATAACGCCTCGGTCGGTGCTGACCGCGTCCAGGGTCAAAGGTCAAAGGCGAAGATAGTCGCACGTTCCCGCGATGGTTCGGGTTCTAGACTCACAAACCGTTCCGCAGTATTTCCATCGCAGAAGATTCTCCTGATCAAACCGCTGCTGGTCTTGAACCGCGACCGGCGACGTCGTAGGATCCAGGATGGATCCAGGTCGTTTTTGTCACCATGGCAACTCGTTTAACAAGTCAAGGGGTCAATCTGTGAAAGCTACATCCAGTTGCTCGCGAAGGTCGGGATAAGCGACTAACGGCGGTTACTTTACATGCTAGTGATTAGTTCACGGCACTAGACGAGACATCACTGGAGCTTTTCTCGAACGGATTCTGTTTTACACGTGCGTAATAAACGCGCTCTTCTCCGTCCAATCATCTTTAAGCATTCTGCTCCGGTCGTCGAGCGGTCGTCGGGTCTCACGCCTCACTACGCTGCGACGGAAAGGCCGTTCTAGCCAGAGACAGGACGCTTGATCGGGACGATTCTGTGACATTCGTGTTTAGCCAATCGGTGAGCAGCACTGTTTTTTGTTTTGTTTTTTTTAGCTCCGCCCACCGGAGGACGGGAACTTTCGGTTACAGTAGGACTGCTGCTATTAAAGTTAGAGAAGAGAAACTATGTTCATCGCACTCATTTATCTCTGTTACGGGAAGACTGCTGCTCTCAGCACCACACACTCATTACACACCAGGTGCTGCTGAAGTGCGTGTGTGTGTGTGTGAGTGTGTATGTGTGTGTGAGTGTGTGTGAGGTCACAGACACTTACACACACACACACACACACACACCCTGTGCCTCTGTGAGTGTGTCACTTTCCTCACACACACACACACACGGATACAGATGCATGTTCTTGTGTATTATAAACATTCTGATCATCAGACAAGGCTGAAACACACACACACACACACACACACACTCGCACACTCACACACACACACACACACACACACACACACACACCCTGTCGCAGTAAGGAGTTTGTGATAACATTGTGTAAGACATAAGTGTTTCGCTCCCCTTTTGATTTACAGACTTTAAGGCTGATAAGTCGTGATATTACAGCTTATACACAATTATTCCCATGAGCCCTGACAGGAAGTGACCTCATAATGGGAGAGAGAGTGTGAGACCATGGAGAGATTTCATCACTAGTTGAAATCACTCTGCTCTGTGTGTGTGTGTGTGTGTGTGTGTGTGTGTGTGTGTGTGTGTGTGTGTGTGTGTGTGTGTGTGTGAGTGTGTGTGTGTGTGTGTGTGTGTGTGTGTGTGTGTGTGTGTGTGTGTGTGTGTGTGTGTGTGTGTGTGTGTGAGTGTGTGTGTGTGTGTGTGTGTGTGTGTGTGTGTGTGTGTGTGTGTGTGAGTGTGTGTGTGTGTGTGTGAGTGTGTGTGTGTGTATGTGTGTGTGTGTGTGTGTGTATGTTTGTGTGTGTGTGTGTGTGTGTGAGTGTGTGTGTGTGTGTGTGTGTGTGTGTGTGTGTGTGTGTGTGTGTGTGTGTGTGTGTGTGTGTGTGTGTGTGTGTGTGTGTGTGTGTGTGAGTGTGTGTGTGTGTGTGTGTGTGTGTGAGTGTGTGTGTGTGTGTGTGTGTGTGTAGTGTGTGTGTGTGTGTGTGAGTGTGTGTGTGTGTGTATTCCTGGGGGAGTCTCGGTCAGCAATTTTATCACCACCGCTTTATTAACACAGCTTCACCCTTAGAGACCCCCAACACACACACAGACACACAAGGTCAAACTCATACTCATGGTGATGTGATGTTGTTCTTGGCAAGTTGAAAAGGGTGTGTGTGTGTGTGTGTGTGTGTGTGTGTGTGATGTGTGTGTGTGTGTGTGTGTGTGTAAAAATGTGCCCTTATAATGTAAACTGTCAATTCACATATGCAATTTATTACAAACACAGCGATTTTGACATGAAATGGTTATTACACAATTATGTATACACATCTCTCTCTCTCTCTCTCTCTCTCTCTCACACACACACACACACACACACACACACACACACACACACTGAGTATGACTGTGAATATTTAAAAATAGGCCCAGTGCTGGAGGAAGAGGTCGTGGAGTTCGGGCATGTTCCACAGAGCTCGTTATGTTTCAGTCGATCTGATCATTTGATCTTTGTAAATAACCAGATGCTCGTGGACCAGGACTCAGGACTCAGGACTCAGCAGTATTTACCACAACCTCTTATTACTGTATCTGAAGCTGTATAACACAATACAGTCACATAGAGCCAGAATATATCATGTATACAGATCGAAATGCTGTTCCTCCGCTCACGCCTGCCGCTCACCTCCACAGCCAACTCTCGACTGAAGAGAAAATGGCCGACCTCGCTAATCATACCTGTGACCTGTAGGTACCCCTATAGCCCCTTTAACGCCAAGGAACGCTCAAATAAATGGGGGAAAAAACGCAACATATTATCAAGCATTATTATTTCTTTTCTGTTACAATCTTTACGTAGTGTGTACACCTCCAGGTGTCACTCTTACGCTCTAGGTTAGCATGAGATAGGTTACTATTTACCATGTTGGACGCCATATTGCCTCCATGGCGTCGCGAATCGTACAAAAGACAACCGCGCGAGTTCTCCGTCTCCGTATTTGAACTCTATGGACTTTCCCCTAATCACAGAATCTACAGCGATGTCTTACCAGCTGGCTCCGACTCTTAGCGTGCCTTAGCGGGGGACAAACTTGCACCTAGGTAATCCTATTTTAAACGCTGGAGGGAACGAGGACTAGCGCGTGCTACACGTCGTGCTGTGGAACTGTCCGCAAGCTGTGTTTTCCGTCTAACGGACACGTTTTATACGCGTTTACGCGTGTACGGGCCAAAGACTGCGGTCAGTCACAACTGAGCACTTTAATCGCGAACCTCGCAGCCAGGAATGGTTAACAAGCTGTTCGTCAATTATTTCAGCTCATTTTGGCACCGGGGGTGATGTTAGTGACCTCAGGGTCGCAGGCTTGATTCCACATAGGTATGTTAAGAAGTGAGCCACGTGACCTTGTTCGAAGCATCAAAGCGTTTTTGGTTATCTTCCGAAACAAAACTAAATTCTCCTGCTTCATATTTCCGTCTCATTAACCGGTAGATGCGCTAGAGTCATGAAGAGCCGTGCTAATTACTTTCCACTCCTTCAGCCTTTTGTTTTTTTATTTCTCTCCCAGCCTCGCTTCGGTGTTTTACAGCGACAGCCGCGCTTTATTTCTTTTCCAGGCCTTGAATAAAAAAAAAAACAAGGACGGTGCCACATCATTGGCCGCCGTGCCGCCATAGCGACCGTCTGGCCGTGCGCGATTGGTCGAGCGGTTCTCCTCAGTCTAGCCGGTGATGAGGTCCTGAACTGGGCCTCACGCTAATGTCTGGAGCAGCACTGCGAGCGCGCTAGTCTCACTGGTGCTAGCATGCTAACACCCCACACATGAGCACGTGTGGAAAAAAATAATGGCGGAGGGAGGGGCCGAAGAGATTTAAGCACTGCCTCGCCCCCACCGAACAATACAAGGAAGCCTTTGTTTTTGGGTTTGTTTTTTTTTGTTTTTTTGTGAGAACCCTTTCTCCTCTTTCTCATCTAAATTGATCTCCTCCTCGCTTCAAACCTCCCTGAGAGGGTAGATTTGACCTGAACAGCTGGATGATGGAGCGTTTCTTGATGAGTTAGATCAGGAAATATCTGGATGTTTTACCAAGTGTTCCACTAGATTACCTCGTTAAAGGAAAACTCCAGCGTTCTTCAAACTAAGCTCGATTTACCCGTGTACAGTGCACGTGTAGTGTAAGGAAATGTTTTCAGAGTTGGAGACGTGAATACAACGTCACGCAGGGAAAGTTCCTTATCTCACTGAGCAGTGGAGGGTTAAGGGCCTGGGTGCTGGGGTTTGAACTCATGACCTTCTGATCAGTAGTCCAACATCTTGACCACTGAGCTCCCCCTGAGTCTATTGAAGCACACGAGTTAAAAAAGAGTATTCCTTGAACAGGCATTTGTTGCAGATTAAGTTCTGCGTTCTCGAGCAGAGGAATCTCCGCCGCGATGCGTTTGAGAAGCTCCGTCCCAGTGGACTGTGGTTTGTTCTCGTAAGCAGGAGTGCACCGAAAATTCACCCACCACCTCTTTCATCACAGTATTACATTATTCTTTTTAGATTTAAACATGTATGTTGGTAAATATTTACTTACAAACCGAATCTCGTGCACTCAGAGCACAGCGATGAACGCGGGAGGACTGGGAGAGAGAGAGAGAGAGAGAGAGAGAGAGAGCGAATGCTGGAGGGTGGAGTAATAATTTGGGGTTTTTCATCTCGTTCAGGTGATCATACTGGGCGTCGCTCCAAGTCCAATGATCTTTCAGGGCGTTGTCTGGCTTGAACTGGCATGGCCTTGTGAGAAGGCCTCGTCCTGGAACTGGAGTCATTGCACCGACTTCTTGTTGTTTCACGCTTGAGCATAAACAACAACAAGCCGTGTTCGATTTGTGCCACGTTAGTTTTAATCGAATTGAACAGAATCACAGAACGTGATTGAACTGAATCTCATCGAACTTAATCGCGTTCCTCTTCTTCTGTGTCTGCGCAGGTGCTGCGAGCGGGAATCTGGTGGCTCAAGAGGCCGTGAGAAAACAGGCAACTTTCCGCAAGTCGACGTTACCCAATCCCACAGAGCAGCTCTCCAGTACGAACCAATCACCACATTTCTTTTCTTCTTCTTCTGTAATATAACCAAACACTCACTCACAGTCAGTCACTCAGTCAGTCACTCACCCAGTCAGTCAGTCACTCACCCAGTCACTCACCCAGTCACTCACCCAGTCAGTCAGTCACCCAGTCAGTCAGTCAGTCACTCAACCAGTCAGTCAGTCACCCAGTCAGTCAGTCAGTCAGTCACTCACCCAGTCAGTCAGTCAGTCACTCAACCAGTCAGTCAGTCACCCAGTCACTCACCCAGTCAGTCAGTCACCCAGTCAGTCAGTCAGTCAGTCACTCACCCAGTCAGTCAGTCAGTCACTCACCCAGTCAGTCAGTCACAGTCACTCCCGCAGTCAGTCACCCGGTCAGTCAGTCAGTCACTCCCCCGTCAGCAGTCGTCACTACCCAGCATCACAGTCACCACTCAGTCACCCAGTCAGTCAGTCCCAGTCACCACCCAGTCAGTCAGTCACCCAGTCACTACCCAGTCAGTCACTCGTCAGTCACTCCAGTCAGTCACCGCAGTCACTCACCCAGTCACTTACCCAGTCAGTCACTCACAGCAAAACCCAACTACCAAGTCGCATCACCCACACCACCAGTCACCCAATACCCCCAACAGCACTCATCAGTCAGCTCCCACCCCGTCACAGTCACTCACCCAGTCACACCCAGCAGCCATCCAGTCCTCCCAGCAGTCACCAGTCAGTCACCAGCAGCACCCACTCCCAGTCAGTCACCATCACCCATCACCAGTCACCACATCACCAGCAGTGCCCAGTCACCAATCAACCAGTCAGTCACCAGTCATCACCCAGTCATCACCACGTAGTCACTCGAGTCACCCAGTCAGTCACCAGTCAGTCCTCACCCAGTCACTCCCAGTCAGTCACTCAGTCAGTCAGTCACCCAGTCACTCACCCAGCAGTCACACCCAGCAGTCACTCAGTCAGTCAACCCAGCACTCCGTCAGTCAGTCACCCAATCAGTCACTCCCCAGTCAGTCACTCAGTCAGTCACCCAGCAGTCACTCACCCAGTCAGTCACTCATACCTACCATCACCCACTCACCCACCTCACACTCCTCAGTCACAGTCACTCAGTCACTCACCCTGTCAGTCACCCAGTCAGTCAGTCACTCAGTCACTCACCCAGTCAGTCACCCAGTCAGTCACCCGGTCCGCACCCAGTCAGTCACTCACCCAGTCATCACTCACCCAGTCACTCACCGATCACTCACTCACCCAGTACACCAGTCACAGTCACTCACCCAGTCACTCCTCACCCAATCAGTCACCCAATCAGTCACCCAATCACTCACCCAGACACTCACTCACCCAGTCACTCACTCACCCAGTCACTCACTCACCCAGTCAACACCTCAGTCAGTCACTCACCCAGTCACTACTCACCCAGTCAATCACTCAGTCAGTCACTCACCCAGTCACTCACCCAGTCACTCACCCGGTCACCACTCACCCGTCACACTCCCGGTCACTCACCCGGTCACTCACTACCCATCACTCCCAGTCAGTCACTCAGTCACTCCCAGTCCTCACTCAGTCACTTACCCAGTCAGTCACCCAGTCAGTCACCCAGTCAGTCACCGTCAGTCACCCAGTCAGTCACCCACCCAGTCAGTCAGTCACCCAGTACAATCACCCAGTCAGTCACTCACCCAGTCACTCCCAGTCAGTCACCCAGTCAGTCACTCAGTCAGTCAGTCACTCACCCAGTCACTCACCCAGTCAGTCACTCAGTCACTCACCCAGTCAGTCACTCAGTCAGTCAGTCACTCACCCAGTCACTCACCCAGTCAGTCACTCAGTCACTCACCCAGTCAGTCACTCCCCAGTCAGTCACTCAGTCACTCACCCAGTCAGTCAGTCACCCAGTCACTCACCCAGTCAGTCACTCACCCAGTCAGTCACTCAGTCACTCACCCAGTCAGTCACTCACCCAGTCAGTCACTCAGTCAGTCACCCAGTCAGTCAGTCACCCAGTCACTCACCCAGTCAGTCAGTCACCCAGTCAGTCACTCACCCAGTCAGTCACTCAGTCACTCACCCAGTCAGTCACTCACCCAGTCAGTCACTCAGTCACTCACCCAGTCAGTCAGTCACTCAGTCACTCACCCAGTCACTCACCCAGTCAGTCACCCAGTCAGTCACTCACCCAGTCACTCACCCAGTCACTCACCCAGTCAGTCAGTCAGTCACTCACCCAGTCAGTCACTCACCCACTCAGTCACTCAGTCACTCACCCAGTCAGTCACCCAGTCAGTCAGTCACTCAGTCACTCACCCAGTCAGTCACCCAGTCAGTCACCCGGTCACGCACCCAGTCAGTCACTCACCCAGTCACTCACTCACCCAGTCACTCACTCAGTCAGTCACTCACCCAGTCACTCACCCAGTCACTCACCCGGTCACTCACTCACCCGGTCACTCACCCGGTTACTCACCCGGTCACTCACCCGGTCACTCACACCCAGTCACTCTCTCAGTCAGTCACTCAGTCACTCACCCAGTCACTCACTCAGTCACTTACCCAGTCAGTCACCCAGTCAGTCACCCAGTCAGTCACCCAGTCAGTCACCCACCCAGTCAGTCACCCACCCAGTCAGTCAGTCACCCAGTCACTCACCCAGTCAGTCACTCACCACCCAGTCACTCACCCAGTCACTCACCCAGTCAGTCACTCACCCAGTCAGTCACCCAGTCAGTCACTCAGTCAGTCAGTCACCCAGTCACTCACCCAGTCAGTCAGTCACCCAGTCAGTCACTCACCCAGTCAGTCACTCAGTCAGTCACCCAGTCAGTCACCCAGTCAGTCACCCACCCAGTCAGTCAGTCACCCAGTCACTCACCCAGTCAGTCACTCAGTCACTCACCCAGTCACTCACTCAGTCACTCACCCAGTCAGTCACCCAGTCAGTCACCCAGTCAGTCACCCAGTCAGTCACCCACCCAGTCAGTCAGTCACCCAGTCACTCACTCAGTCAGTCACTCAGTCACTCACCCAGTCACTCACTCAGTCACTCACCCAGTCACTCACTCAGTCACTTACCCAGTTAGTCACCCAGTCAGTCACCCAGTCAGTCACCCAGTCAGTCACCCACCCAGTCAGTACCACCCAGTCAGTCAGTCACCCAGTCACACCCAGTCAGTCACTCCAGTCACTCACCCAGTCACTACCCAGTCAGTCATCAGCACTCACCCAGTCAGTCCCAGTCAGTCACTCAGTCAGTCAGTCACCCATATCACCCAGTCAGTCGTCACCCAGTCAGTCAGTCACCCAGTCAGTCACTCAGTCAGTCCCAGTCAGTCACTCACCCAGTCAGTCACTCAGTCAGTCACTCCAGTCAACCCATCAGTCACTCAGTCAGTCACCTCAGTACCCAGTCAGTCACTCAGTCACTCACCATCAGTCACGTCAGTCCCCAGTCACTCACCCAGTCAGTAGTCAGTCAGTCACCAGTCAGTCAGTCACCCAGTCACCACCCAGTCAGTCAGTCACCCAGTCAGTCACTCACCCAGTCATCACTCAGTCACACCCATACTCACCCAGTCACTCACCCAGTACACTCACCCCAGCTCACACAGTCAGTCACCCAGTCACTCACCCAGTCACTCACCCACTCAGTCACTCACCCAGTCACTCACCCACTCAGTCACCCGGTCACTCACCCAGTCACTCACTCACCCACTCACTCACCCAGTCACTCACTCACCCAGTCACTCCCGCACCACCTGGTACACACTCACCGGTCATTTACCCGGTCACTCCCAGTCACTCACCCCCAGTCACTCACTCCAGTCACTCACCCAGTCACTCACCCAGTCAGTCACGGTCACTCACCCGGTCACTCACCGGTCACTCGGTTACTCACCTGGTCACCACCTGGTCACTCCACCAGTCAGTCACTCAGTCACTCACCCAGTCACTCACGTCACTCCCAGTCAGTCACCCAGTCAGTCACTCACCCGTCAGTCACTCAGTCACTCACCCAGTCACTCACCCACTCAGTCACTCACCCAGTCAGTCACCCAGTCAGTCACTCACCCAGTCACTCATTCAGTCACTCACCCACTCAGTCACTCACGTCACTCACCCAGTCAGTCACTCCATCAGTCACTCAGTCACTCCCCAGTCAGTCACTCACCCAGTCAGTCACTCACAGATCAGTCACTCCAGTCACTCACCCAGTCACTCACCCACTCCAGTCACTCACCCAGTCACTCACCCA